AAGTTTGACAGTTAGAAGAAAAGCATAAAGGTAGAAGGCAACATTCAGGAGCCATAAATAGTTGGTTTTGCCTATATTCTGGGGTGGGGGCAGTTCCTGGAAATAAGGGCTTGAATGCTAAATTGAGAAGTTTTTTTAAAAAATATTTATTTATGCATAAAAGCATAAAAGAAATGGGATGTGTGTGTGGAGGGGTGTGTGTGTGTGGAGGGGTGTGTGTGTGTATGTGTGTGGAGGGAGTTGTGGTGACAGGATTCACCAGAGACAGAGTAGGGAGCAGAACAGGCAGATCTACTGAAACACACTGCTGAGGGGAGCAGCGGGCAAAACGAGAGGTCTGCTGTGCCATGTGGGTCAGCTCCATGGCTGGGGGCAGAACTCCTGCTGCAGTGGCTGCAGGTAGCTTGATAGCACTGTGTCTTTAACCCCTGCACCACCAGGGAGGCCCTAAATTGAGACATTTTCAATGAGCAGTTAACAGGAGTTTGAAACAAGATAACAACTTAAAGATGAATGTGAATGCAATTGACTATAACAGAATATAATAGCAATAGAATTGAGAGAATAGATGCATTTAGAGATTAATTGGCAAGCAGGAAAGCTTCCAGGAGGACGTAAGTAAAAATGAAAGCTGAATAATGGCAATGGGGAATACAAAGGAGAGACTGGAATTAAAAGGTAGTGCAGAGGCAAAAATAACAAAATAGGAACAGCAGGGGGAAAAAGAGCTGCTTTTGATAATGAACTTCCTTGCATGTGATTGCCTTGTATTTAACATAAGCAACCCAATTGGAGACCCACACACACACCACCATAATGCCAATCTCATCTCTGTGCCAGGGATCCCTGCCACCATATGGTACTTCTGAGGTTCTCTCCAACTTGGTAGGAATATCTAAGGCCCTCTTGATTTTTCACTCCATCCTATTGCTCATATATTCGACATTGTAAGCACAAGTCAAGAGGAACCAAGTTCAACTTCAAAGATAACAGTGTAGCATCACCCTCACAATTCTAATGGTATCAGGATGAATTCTAAATCCTAAGTACAATAAGGACAAAGGAAAGGATATGTTAGCTCATTGTCTTTTATTATTTTTTTACATAGAAAAGCTTTACTGTACTGAGGATTTTAAATACCATTACAAAAATACAAATACAAAATAGAAAATGAAGCACACCTTGCAATAAAAATATAGAAGATTAAATTTGAAAAAACCTCAAAAATGGACCAAAAAGAAAAAAGTAGGAGAGATGAAAGTATAAAAACATTAGAATTGAAATGTGAGCAGTTGAACATCCAAAGTGAATATTCTGCAAAGAAAGAAAAAATGGGGCCTCCCTGGTGGCGCAGGGCTTAAGACTCAGCAGTATGAAGCTATCTGCAGCCACTGCAGCATGAATTGGATCCTCCACCAGGGAGATGACCCACATGGCGCAGCAGACCTCTCGTCTCACCCCACTGCTCCCCTCAGCAGTGTATTTCAGTAGATCTGCCTGTTCTGCTCCCCACTGTCTCTGGTGAATCCTCTTACCTGCCGCATCTCTGGCCTGTACCCCAGCTTTTATATGCACAATTTTTTTAAAAAAAGAAAGAAATGGAAGGAAGAAAAATCAGAACAAACATTGGAGAAAATTCCATGACAGAAGGACATAGGTTTCCAGACTAACACATTACTGAGTGGCCAGTACAGAATCTGAAAACAGACCTCTACCAAGCCACGTCATCACACGTGTTCAGATCCTGGGGATGTTAAAAGCTATACACTTCCAGAGAGAAAAACATAGAAAGCCCTTCACGGCCTTCCTGGTGGTGCAGGAGATTGAGCACAGTGTTGTGAAGCTGTCCACAGCTCCACGGTGCCAGTTCGATTCCCGCCCAGCCCAGGGAGATTCCCACATGGCGCTAAGGACCTCTCCTGTCTCGTCCGCTGCTCCCCTCAGCAGTGTATTTTGGTCCTTCTGCCTGTTCTGCTCCCTGCTCTGTCTCTGGTGAATTCTGTCACCCTCCTGTGCCTCTGGCCTGTACCCCAGTGATTGTATAAATAAATAAATCTTTAAAAAAAATTTTTTTAAAAAGCCCTTCACCAGCCGGCCATGCACCCCTCAGTCTTCCCAGCACAACACAGCCCAGTCCCTTCCCATCACTTTGCCCTAAAATAAGTGAGGTCAGAGGCCTCCTGCTTAAAAGCCTTCTGTGGCATACTGTGCCCTCAGAAGAAATAAAAAATAAAGAAAATAGGGGCATTAGGCTTTAAGACCACCTCTCAAGTTTGATGATTCTTCTGAGTGTTAATGTTTTTTGTTGTGTTTTTTTTTAAAGATTTATTTATTTATACAAGCACTGGGTACAGTCAGAAGCACAGGAGGGTGAGAGAATTCACCAGAGCCAGAGGGGAGAGCAGAGCAGGCAGACTGACAAAGTACACTGCTGAGGGGAGCAGCAGGTGGCAGGAGAGGTCTGCGCCATGTGAGACCCTCGCCTGGCAGCCGGGGACCGAACCGGCGCTGCAGAGGCTGCGGGCATCTTCACAACCCAGCGCTCAACCACTGCACCACCAGGGAGGCCCCTGAGTGTTAACATTTTTAAATGAATTCATAAAGGATTCTGCTTGGCACTACCAACTACATGTTAATTCAATTGTTCAATCACCTAGTCCATATGGAAATTTTATTTTTTTTAAATGAGGGTGTATTTCTATCTAATTCATGAGAAAAGAGAATTCTTGATGAAAGTATGAAGAAAATTCAATGTCATGTTAGAATACTTTTTTTCTTTCTCTTGTCATGCTACAAAAGATGGATCCTGGTGGAGTCAGACTAAACCAGCTCGGACTGATGTTGCCAGCTTGAAGTACAATTTTCTCCACTCAAGCTATTTTGTGGTGAAATGATCATATTACCTCAAAATACTTTAAAATTTTTCATATTCTTCCCTCCCATTCTGCTGTATACATCCAAGTGCTTTCCTTACCTTCTATTGTTTATTAATCTCACCTCTGCTGCCACCACCTACTCCAGGTAAGCATTATCCATCAATATAAGCACAGGTTTCTTCTTAAGATACTGGTTAGGTTTTGCCAGACAACATAAAACAAACAATTTACATCAATTCAAGGGCTTCATAAAGCTGAAAGGCAGTCATGGAATATTTGCTTGTTAGGACAATAATCACAGTACGATTGAGAAAAACTATTACACTTAGAGGCTTTAAGGGACCCATTTTCCAGTGTCACTTTTGCTGTAATGCACAATTGCCCCAAATAAAAAAATTGCTAAAAGGAATGAAGCCAAAACCTAGTCCACCAATACTGCAACTAAATTGCTCTGCGGTAACATCCACCTGTCATCCACCTGTCTGGTGAATGAAATGCTACACTGAAATGCAATTATTTTAAAACACTTAAGAAAGATTGTTCTGTTTCTTTAATTATAAATCTATTTTCATCCATAAAATGGCAATGTCTCAGAAATGGTGAAGTCTTTTATTTAAAATACCAAATGCTGTAAATATATTGAATCAAGGAATTTCAGTTCTCATATCACAGTGTAGTTGTTTCCTCAACTCAGCAAGTCAGCTAAAATCCTGTATTAACCTTACAACTGCTCTATCAATCCCACATTGCATCAGCAATCCTTGCTAGTTCTGACTCCAAATCTCTAATCATTCATGCCTTTGACTTCCATCTATACTACCTTAATTAGATCTCCTATCTTTCACACAATCTATTCTAATCAAAAGTTTCACTGTCCTCATGATCAAATGAAGACTGTCACCCCCATTGTGAAAATCCCCCAGCTCTACAAGGCAGAATTAAGATGATTACAGGACTAAAAGGAAATCTCATACACTGGAAGTGGGAATGTTGACTGGTCCAGCCCCTTTGTAGAACAGTATGAAGGTTCCTCAAAATATTAAAAATAGATCTATGCATGACCTAGCAATTCTACTCCTAGGTTTCAACCCAAAGAATGCAAATCACGAAATTTGAAGGGATACATGTACTCGTAAGTTCTTTGCAGCATTTACAATAGCCAATTTATGGAAACAACCTTAGTGCCCAAAGAAAGAAGAGAGAATGAGAATAGTACTGAGCTATAAAAGAAAGGATGAACTCTTGCCATTTGCAACATGGATGGAACTACAGAATGAATGAAATGAGTCAGAAGGAGAAAGACAAATACTGTGTGATTTCAGTCGTAGGTACAACATAGAGGCACAAAAGAACTGACAAAACAAAACTAAAACAAACCCTAGAAATATGACTGCAGAATTGAAGTTACTAGAGGGGGAACACAAACATGGGGTAGAAACATTGCAGGGAGGAGGCCCAGTGGTCTACACCGTGGGTGCTTTGGAGGTGGGTGTGGTAACATATATCTGAGGAGGTGTGAACCCATTCCCCTATATCATATAGTGTTGTAAACCAATGTTACCTCAGTAAAAACCGATGGATGGATGGATGGATGGATGGATGGATGGATGGATGGATGGATGGATGGACGGACGGATACAACAGTTCCACCTTGTTTTGCTCCAGACGCTCTTGGTACATACTACTCTTATAACAGATAATTCTTTAATGCATTGCTGTCAAATGAAAATCTGCAAGTCACATATATAATTTTGTTCTAGTTAGCCTCATTGAGAAGGTAAAAAGAGATGAGTGAGTTTTAATAATTTCATTCAACCAGGTGTCCCAAAATACCATTTTCTACATGCAAATAATATAAAAACCTAACAAGTGATTCTACAACTTGTATGCTAATTCTCTGAAACCCAATATGCATTTTATGTTTATGTTTATATTTTAAATGTAGACACTAAGTTGTCATCAAAAATAATTGATTCAGATTTTCATATAAAAGTTATAGTTGAAAAGTAGATTTACATATCCCGATTGTTTCAAATGCGCTTGAAAGTTTTATGACTGCCTCAAATATCAACTTTTATTTTAAACTGAAATAAAAGTGACATTTAAAAATCAATCCCTCACCTTAACTCTATTTCAAGTGCTCAAGAGCCACGTGCAGCTTCCGGCTCTTATACTGAACAGAGCAGCTCTGCTGTGATTATTTGTTATCCATCCCTCTTTTCCACTCAATCAAACCACTTGTCATTTACTTGTACCCTTGTCATTGTCCAGCATCAGGACTGGCACATAAATGGCATCTTACAAAAGTTTGTTGACTGAGTAAGGAAAAGATCAATATGGAAATAACTTGATTGAACCACAACATTAAATGAAGAGCATTTTATGGTAAAGATTGTGACTTTATAAATATATACACATGCACATGTGTACAAGCAAAGAGGCCATCAATTAAAACTAAGTACATTTGATTTGTTACTGAGTCTTTTAATTAAAAAAATACTTCCTACATACTGATCCCCTTCTTCTGTGCCTTCATCTTTACCCCCTCCTTCTCTTTATGCATTTATGGGTATTCTATCCAATTAACACCCCACAATACTTGGTCATATTTACATTTCAAGTTGTTTTTTCTATGTCTTACCTTCTCAAATTATATTTAAAGCTTCTGATCATAGAAATGATTCCTTATACTTCACAACTATCCTAATACATGGCAAAGGTAATAACATAGTACAAGAATTTAATATATGACACACAAGCAATTCTCAGATGCCATCTTTTTCAGTATATCCTTTCTAAGTCAATTCCAGAAGCCTTGCCTGTCAGCATTTACAGTTATCCCACTATCTCTGACTAGCTGGGCCAAGAGACCAACCCCCAAAATCAGTTCTTCCTTATGTGCTACACAATGTGCTCTGCATGTATCATTAATTGTCCTTCACCTCCAGGGAGATGGCGTGATATTTCTAATCTCTGCTAAAATACTCCACAACCCCCAGTTATAGTGGGGGGCTACAAATGTGGACTTTCTGCAGCAGTTGCTTCCTGTTCCTGCACTTCCTCTATCAGCCATGGGGCTCCAGCAACAACATGGCAGAAAGGAATTCTGTAAAGGTAGAGATCTCTTTGGTCTTCTTAGTCATATCTCCCTAGTGACAACTAACTAACAAATCAATGCACACATACGTTTCCACAAAAGGGACTGCAATAAAATATCTTTTATTCTAATGTTGCTTGAATAAGAAAATACAAGTAAACACAAAGATGTCTTGGTGAATCAGTCACCGGGTTCCTGTAAGCCTGTGTCGGTCTTCTTTCTCTGTTGCTTGGGTAGCTCTTTGATGGCATCTATCTCTGCAGGAGTGAACTTAGGGGTTAGCATTACGGAGTCATAATCAAATTCTTCATCAAGTGTGAAGGGCTGAATTTCATCTCCAGGTATCTATAAAAGATCACAAAGGAGGAAAAACATATACAATCATTGTAAAGGAAGATAAAGTTGGAAACAAACTCCCTATTAATATTTAATTAAAACTTTTTTTAGACTTCAGCACTCTCAGCTGATTAAGCTGTTTTTAAGTAAAGGAATAAATTCAATTATTCAATTTGACCTAATTTAAGCCTCTTAATATGCCCCATTTGTACCATCTTGCATCTGAATGAATATCATTAACTAATTCCGCCCACGGCAAGAATCAGAAAGTCTCCCTTGTACATATTCATTACATTTTTACCACTTGTAGTGTTAGGACTGGAGGCATATGAAAAACTAAGATTTATGTTAAAATGTGAAAATATACCTTAAAATTGTATTGACTTTAAATAGATTTTTTTCACCACTTATTAAAAAAAATTGATCAATAAAACAATCGCAAAAGTAGAAATAAATTGAAGTTAATAAGCTTACTTCTTCAGATAATACCTAGAATCAGTGTGCCAAACAGTAAGAATTAAGCACAAAATACCACCTTAAGTTAAAATGTTCAGGGTCCGTTTCTCCTACCAAGAATTTTAAAAACATTACAGAATTTATCTAAAAGTCCAAGTCGCTGCAAAGAGATGTAATAGTTCTGCATCTATTTATTCATAACCTGTGAGTTTTAAAGACTTTCTAAAGGAAAGTAGATTTTTAAAAAGCATATTTTCTAATAAACAAAAAAGGAATGCTTTAAATTTCATTATATTACTTCCTAAAAAGTCCCTCCAAAAGCAAATGGGGTGTGATGTAATGAAATCATCTAGCACCTCTATATAGCTCTGTACTATGCATGGTGATGCTAAAATAATTGAAAATTATGGTTTATGCAAGAATGGAAAAAAAAAACCGCCCTGAAGCTATAATCAGCTTTAAATATTCTTGTGTGGAGAATGATCTCATTGAGTGGATCTTGCAATTCCTTGAAAATGGATCATATAGCTCAGAAACCATGTGCTGTTACTACAGGTGGGGAAAAAAAAACATGAAAGGTACATGTCTCCTATGTGTTCAGCAGTTTGTATTTTGCAGTTAGGCATTGTAGGGTAAGGTAAAAGGTATCAGGCTTTTCTGCCCTTCCGCCATCAGGATAGATGAGGGAGCCCTGTGATCCTGGGTGCATGCCTGATGGCGGGCACCTGAAGTGGGTACACCTGCGCTAAAAGACTGATAATATAAGGGTGGTGCAGCAGAGTGCGGTGTGGTGGTAGTGCGGTGTTAAGGGTGGAGGAGTGGAGGGTACGGAGGAGTGTTGGAGCGACTACAAACCACGGCGAAGAGCATGTGGCTGCTAGAACCGTTCATAAACCTGCTCAGAATGGGTTGGTTGCTTTACAGGCATGCATTGCTAATAGCAAACACCCAGTCAAATATAATCCTTTCTTAGTAAAACCAGCAAGAGAACAAATTTCAGAGACTTGCTCATTTCCTCCTTATTAGAAGAACCTGCAGGCTTCCCTGATAAAGATCATGACTGGAGAGTTCCCACCACCTGCCAGCCCCAGTCCTAGGGAGCTTGTGTGTACCAGCAGCCATCTCCAACAACCCTGCTGCTGACCTTAAAAGAGCTCTGAAAAATAAGGAAATTGTCCAGAGCCACACAATTAGTAAGGGAGAGAAGCAACATTTGAATCCAGGACACTTTGTTGCAGATAAAGTTTCACCTCAACAAAAACACAGCAAAAAGTCAGCCTTGAAGATTTTATTAAGCCAAATCATAGCTCCTTGGGAGAAAAGACCTTTTCTAAAAACAAACATAAATCACCTAAAGACAGAGGCACGTCCTGAGAAACATCCTCAGGCGACTTCACTGCTGGTGAATTACACAAACCTGATGGTACAGCTCGCTACACACCTGGGCTGCATGGTTCACAGTATCGCTGTGATCTAAACGATCCGCACCGTCTATCACAACATTCTCCCAGGTGCCACAGTGACTCTCTTCCAAACAGCGACTCTACACAGGAAGCGAATCTGCCTGCAGATGGACTGATCTGTCCATTTAAGTCACTTTCTGAGATTAAATATATCATCATCACAGCCAAAGTCACAGTCGAGCAACATTGCTGAGACTGGCTCAAATGAAGAAACACATTACACTCATTTCCTGTACATAAGTGGCCTTGCTGTGTCTGACGCTATTCAGCAGTAAGTGTAGAGGTCTGCAGGCCTGGCCACAACTCCACCCCAAGCTGACTGTAAGGAATTCTGGCAGAGGACAAGGAGTCCAGTATATGCAGTCTGCTGGGATGACTGCTTCCTGCCTTTCAGACCTGGCCTCAGGCCCAGCAACCACATTGCCCTAGTACGTCGAACCCCACCCTGAGGCCTCTAAAACCCGCCTAGGTTTACCGAGCCACTCTGACTAGTTGCAGTCACTTTGCCTTCACTCACTCCCTTTTGAGGCTGGAACACAGTTTCAAAGTAGACAAATCCACTGTGCTAAAATCCCAGTAATTCCATACTATAATATACCACCCTCCCCACCCGATTCCACCCCTTTGACATAAAACAAAGGATCCGCACAGCTCCACCTCCCTCCCCTTTACCCTTTAAATACTTAGTGAGTGTTTGATATTAGACTCTGGGAACACAAGATGAATAGAGCAAAACCTGTCCATGAGGTTTCATAACTTCAAGGAGAAGACAGAAATAAATGAATGAATCCAACATCACAGACCATGCTCTCTCTCCAGTATGCAAAGTGGGTTGCATAAGCATAGAGGGAAAGTGCTAAAGCTTAAATTTCTTGAAAATCCTACTAGCCTTCCCACTCATCACCCTACTGATCATCCACTTTGTTTTAGCAACCCAAATAGAGTAAGTAAGGCTTATATGTTGGACTCCTAAACTCTAGTAACAGTTAACTTCCATGCCAAAGTAGTCCTAGATATGGTCCAAGCCATCCTTTCTTCTCCATTTTCCCTGAGGTTCCAATAGACCTTGAGGCCATAATAGCCAACATTATGGTATACTAGAGATATAGGAATTTTCCTTAAATAGGAAATTCTTATTTTTCTTTCTTTTTGAGACAAATAAATTCTCTGTTAGGCAACATGATTTCTTTTCTCAGAAATAATATTTGTTGGGCCTCCCCTGGTGGTGCAGTGGTTGAGCGCTGGGATGCGAGGCTGCCCGCAGCCTCTGCAGTGCCGGTTCGATCCCTGGCCGCTGGCGAGGGTCCCACATGGCACACAGACCTCTCCTGCTGCGCCCGCTGCTCCCCTCAGCAGTGTATTTCGTCAGTCTGCCTGTTCTGTTCCCTGCTCTGTCTCTGGTGAATTCTCTCACCCTCCCGCGCTTCTGACTGTACCCAGTGCTTGTATAAATAAATAAATAAATCTTTAAAAAAAAAAAAAGAAATATTTGTTATTAATCAAAGCATTAGCAAGAAATAAAGTTTTGAGCTAGTCAACATATAGGATGCCCACATAAGAATTTTTATTTATAATCCACTTAAGGTATAAAATATGCTTAAATAAAATTTCCTTCACTTAGAAACTATTATTCATAGCAGCTATTATTAAATTAACTTCCCAGGTTATATGTCATACATGCTGAAATATAAAAGCAACAAACCAAGTAGAGTAACAATTTCATGTGTGCAATGCCAGAGTCTGACACTCAATGCATTTAAAGCCATTGGATTTGGGCTAAGACTGTCACTCCACACTGCAATGTGGCCAGTGCATCCCTATGTCAAAATGTCAGATGAACAGTCTCCTACAATCTTTTCGGTATTTTCCAATCCTTCCACAAACTGTACGTTTCCACTAATTTCTAGGCAGTGTGCTAGGTGCTGAGGATACAAAGATGAAGACCTGTATGAAATCACATAGAAATGAGGCAGACACATAAACAACTACTACAGTGAGACGTATAAAGCGCAAGTGGTGTATAGTTAGGGTGTGAAGGGAACAGAGAAAGGACACCCACCTGCTCAGGTAAGAAGGTATTTGGAAGGAATCAGATGTTTCCCAGAAGAGGTGATACCTGAGCAGAATCTTCAAGGTAACTATTAGTTAACAACTTAAAAGGATGAAGAGATTTTCAAACAAAGTGAAATCCCATGAGCAGACCATGCAAATAAGAGATTTTCACATGCATGGATCTGCCAGTAGTTTAGTATTGTCAGAGTATAAAGAGTAAGGCAGGGAACGGTAAGTGGAGAGGACAGCATCAGATAGTGACCGGGCTTATGTGCTGCTTATCCAAGAGAAGGTGAAAAGTCACTGGAGGATTTTTTTGAAAGCAGGGTAGATACTAGGTGATCTATGCATTTTCAGATAAATTCCTTCCTTCATTTAACTTTTAGCTATCTATGATGACACTGACACAGACATGTACAAACAGAAAGATGTTCTGCCTCTTTGGAGATTATATCCGGAGAGGTCACTGTGAAGATTAAACAGAGGGTAGATTTGTAATCAGGAGACTGTTGAGGCAGACCGGGCAAGAAATAATAACAGTATATTATTACCTTAAAATAATAAGAAGAAGTGTCACTACTATTAGCTATTAGCATGGCTAGGTACTGTTACGTGAACTTCCCAAACATTTCACTGCCAAAGAACAGGGCACTGGTAGCAAAGATTTGAAAATATTTTGAAAGTAAAATGGGCAGCACCTGATGACGGATGGAATATGGAAAAGGAAGAGTAGAATTGCAGGAAGGAAGCAAGGACAGATAAGCAGTTTTTAACATGCTGAATTTGAAAATACCCAAAGGAATCCAGGGGTCAATGGGCACTAGAACAGGTGGAGTGTCGGGGAAGATTCAAGATATTATATATAGTAGAAATGTCTCCATTGGGATTTGACAACTATAAGGTAACTGGTGCCCTTATTCTGAACACATCCAGACAGGTAACTGGAGCCAAGGATGTTTCTGCAGGATATTGAGTTGGGGAAAAGGGGAGAGGCAAGTAGTCCAGTGTAACAGTTTCTGAAAAGAGAGGAAAAAAGAATAGATACTTGCCGAAGAAGGGTCCAAAGCAAGGGAAGGGAAAGTTGGGTTCATTTTTGTAAAGGATGGGAGTACTTTGAACAAGTTTATATGCCGGAGGGGAATAAACTGATCAGAGAAGAAAAGAGAGAATGATTCTTATCCTGTTATACCAGAAAAATCACTCCTAGTAGGTAACGAGGGTTGTTCTCTTTATTTGTTCATTCAATAAATATTTATTGCAAGCCCACAATATGCACGACAGCACTAGTTCTGATCCTTTTTGCATTTTGATTAAGTTAGCTTATGAGGACACACATGAGTGACTTTAGAGTCTTCCAAGAAAAGGGGCACCTATGTAATTAAAGGGGAACTAGACGCACACTGCAATTCAGAAGCTATCACTGCAATCTCTGAAATGACAACTTTTAAAATCCAGTAAAGTTGCCTTTCCATTTATATTTCAGCTGTTGGCTACTGTGGTTTACTTTGGGAATTCTCTTCTTTCAAGTTAGGTTCATTCTAGGGTTCTAAACTATAAGATTCCACGGTTTTTCGATTACAAGCTGAAATTCTGATTTATTTCAAAGAGACGAATTTGTGCACTGGAACACCAAATCCCTTGCTACTGAACAGAAAACAACTGTGAATTAAGTTATTAACTTGCTACTTTTGCCTAAGGAGCTGAGAGAAATATGTGGATTTCAGGTGCCTAATTTCAAATCTAATTGAAATCTTTTTGTAACCTCTGAGGGAATAGAACTTGTACACATTAGAAAACTGCTAGTTTCTTTAAAATTGTTCATGTGACTTACTCTAACAGAGACACTGTTACAGGAGGAATTATTTTCATTCATAGCACCCGCAAAGCAAATTAAAGAAAACAGAACTAATGCTCAAGCCAATAATATCAACATTTAGCTATAGGCTATCTCACAAACAATATGGTAAATACACTGCTTTTATAGGTGAAAATTTTTAGAGTCCCATTATGAATTGGAAAAACAGAAAATCTCCCATTAAAATACTATAAAATTATATTCTATGACTTCTTCTATGGTTAGGGGTTAAGGAGGGAGAATTCACATTTTTTTTTCCAAAATGTGAACTCTTTTGTGCTATATAACTGTTCAAGAACTTCTAAAATTCATCAAAATTGAAATTTAATATCCAGAGTAATAGTATGGTTGTGAATACAGTAAGTACAGTAAGATAGAAAGTGGCATACTCTTGGAAAATAACTCTAAGTGGAAATGTAGATGTATAAAACGAGTGATAAAATTAGGGGAAAAAATTAAATTGGTCCAATCCAGATCAGAAGTTGATGGATTCTCATTAGGCAATTAAGAGGAAATCAGGATATTAAGCATACATTTTTATCATTTGAGACTGAAGTCATAAAAAGCACCTACCTCTCCAGTACAAAATAGCCCTTTGGCAAGTCCATTATAGGGCATTTGCTGGAAATTGATGAACAAATTCCTTTACTGGCACTGGGTGCTTTAAAATTAGATTAATGCTATTAAGCCAAGGGAAATTTGGTGCACTATTGTCATCCCACACAATTCTGAAAAGTTCTCTAACAAATAGTGACTAGAAATAAAAATTCCAACCATAATATTACTCTGGATATTTTTAAAAAAGCAAATTTAGGGCCTCCCCTGTTGGCGTAGCACTTGAGTGCTGGGCTGCGTCTGCAGCACTGCTTCATTCCTCAGCCGCCGGCGAGGGTCCCACCAAAAAAAAAAAAAAAGCAAATTTATTCATCTATGGCTCATGAGTTTGCCAACACAAAAAAAAATGCTTATATCATTTTGACTCCCACATTTAAAAATGTTCACATTTTCTGGTAAGAAATTTATAAGCTTTTTAAAGACACAATCACCTGAAGGGTTTTAACTTTTATTTTATTGACTCTTTCATAGATTTCAGGAATTATTTCCATTTTTTAAACCTGTCGACTGAAAGCATTTTTTAAATTTTTAAAGGAAAAAAAAACCACATGTATAGTGCATATACTACTGGATGTCAATGAACAAAATTTCTTTTTTTTTTTCAGATTTGAACTTTTATTTTTTATTCTTATATTCCCCATACAATTGCAACCCCCTAATTTTGACCCCTAATCCTCCTTTCCCCACTCCCAAAGTGAGTCTCTGGTTCATAGTTGTTTGTTGATTTTGATTTTTTTCTTTCTTACAGTTATTCTTTTTTCCTGGTCCCTCATTTAGGTTTTCTAGATTCCTGTTATGAGTGAGACCATCGGTATTTTTCTTTTAATGAACAAAACTTCTACGAGAAAAGAGCATTTTAAACTTGAAATGTGTGAGTTATTTCTGATTGACCAACTATTTCCAAATAGAATATCTGCTAGTGGAAGCTAGTACCTAAATGACTAAATAATCAGGAAACATCCTGCGGGTTTTATTTGAAAGCAATAACAAAAACCTCTTAACAACTTCTTGTACCTGAGCTCCTTTAAAGTTGGAGTAAATAAAAAAAATAAAGTTGGAGTAAAAAGGGCTATAAATGTCATTTCCCATACCAACAGCCTCAGCGGATGCACATTTGTTTAGGATATATAGAAGAGATGCAAATGATGGCAAAAAAAAGACTTGAATCATGCTTTGGGGAGAGTTAACATGTGCAGAAATTCCATTCTCCTGCATTTCCCCCATGAATTGACAAGGCCCGATGACATTTCCTAGCCTCCTTTGTGGTTTAATAAAAATATGTGAGTAAGTGGTTGCCAATGCAATGGGGCAGAAGAGCACAGTCCTGAGTCCTAAACCTTGGGGGGACATGCTGCCCTTTTTGCTCTCAAACCCTGTCCTATCAGGTAAGACAATGAATGACCGTTACGGGACAAGCACTGAGGATAAGGTCCTAAGGCATAGTGGAGATTCAGAGAGAAAGAACCTACTTCCCTGCTGACCCCAGGGAACAGAGTAAGGGCTCATTGGAAAGGCTCTCTACAAATTGTTAGATGAGAGAAAGGTCTATTCCCTTTCAGCCACTGAATTATTGTTGGGATTCTCTACTATAGCAGTCTGGCTTTACCCTAACTAATACAAAATATTTATAGGATGTTAGAAACAATTATTTTGAAAAAAAAAATGGTCAGCTCAGATTGAAAGAGATAAAAAAAACTGTCCATGTGCTCTGTTGCAAAGTCCCCAGGTAGCACTGTCCTCTAGCATGGCACACATCATGAAACAAAAATAGTTTCCACATAAAAACATAATTGCTCTCTGTGCTTTAAAAGAAACACAGACATCAGAGAGAGACAGCAGTGAGAAAGACCCAATTAAGCAGCTTAAATTCTAAATTTTCCCAATTCTGAGAAAAACTACAAAGCTACATGGGTAGAGTGACATTTCTCTGAAAGGACAAATTAAAGAAATCAAGGCAGTTTTGAGACGGATTGATTCCCCATGGAGTACCTCTTCCATTTGTTTGTCGACTCTTTTTACAGTGGACCTTGGCTTTACATCAGGGCCAAGGGGCCGGGCCATGGAAGGAATATAAGAAGGACCATCAGTGTTTACGTCCTGCTCCACTTCACCTGGAAGCAGCAGCAAATCTGTTGGGTACAAAATAATTTGCTTGATCCTTGCACCAAGTTCACAATTTTTTATTTTTAAGATTTATTTATTTATTTATACAACCACTGGGTACAGCAGAAGTGCGGGAGGGTGAGAGAATTCACCAGAGACCGAGCGGGGAACAGAACAGGCACACTGACGAAATACACTGCTGAGGGGAGCAGCGGGCGCTGCAGGATAGGTCTGCGTGCCACGTGGGACCCTTGCCAGTGGCCAGGGATAGAACCGGCCCTGCAGAGGCTGGGGGCAGCTTCGCAGCCCAGAGCTCAACCACTGCACCACTGGAGAGGCCCCAAGTTCACAATTTATCTAAATCATCTAAAAGCCTATAATGGTCAAAAGAATGAAACAAAATGAACTCAAGTAAGAAGCTGCATTTCACAACACCTATCCTTATTTTGGAACTTAAGGGATTCCCCTCCCTTTTTATAAAATAGAATCCATCTGTACATTTATTTTTATCTTATTTCTGCAAAGCCATATCCCATCTAAAAGGTGTGGGAGAAACACACCTCTCACCCCCAACCCAATTTTCTCCCTATGTAGAAAAATAAAGCAAGAAGATGCTACTTTTCCCTCACTTTCCCTATTTTCCTGAGGGGTAAAGAGAAAGAAATGGAGTACTTATTTCATCCTGTAACAATATGGCAATATTTCAAAAAAATATATTAAAAAACAATGATGCCAGAAGGAAAGAACTTCAACTTTCAACAGAAAAATGAAATACTCTGTCATATTCAGAATACATGGTCTAATTTTCAACCCTTGCAAACAACGTGTTTCCAGCTTGTTTAGCACAATCAAAAGAATTCAATAACAATCTTGGTTTTCTGATCGATCCATTTTAAGTGGATACAATCCCTTATTATAAGTGGGTATAAGTGACAGGACATGAAAGCATCACAGAAACTGATGATCTTCAACAGTTTTCTTTAAAGAACACAACAACAAAATAGAAACACAACAGGTTTTCTTCTGTAAGTTTTCAGAGAACCAGAGAGCTGCTGGAGCTGGCCAATAACTTGCAGCTGGCTCAGGATGATGCTGCCTGCTACTCGATGATCATCCTAATTAAGACACTAATTAAGTTCTCAGTGGAAATGATTAATTAACAACAGGCATGCCTTCACTGTTGCCAATGGCAGCATATAGAGGGAGATAACTGAGCAGGTATTGATATTCAAAACCTGAAACTTACTTGAAATATATTTCTCATAACCACAGAGATCACCTTCACAAAAAAACATGATTACAAAATTTGAAAGACTTCAGCAACAGAGGACACAGCCTAGAAACTGAGAATGTGGGTGGGGACATGGTGACAAAGGTATTTCTATGATTAATTAGTGAAATCATAGGGTATGATCTAATGAATGAGCACAAGTATAAACAACAGTAACAGCCAACACTTATGAGCTGATATTGCATATGCATTAACTCAAATAATTCTCCCAACAGCTCTGTTATTGTGTTACAGGATAGAGATCTAAGCACTGACAGTAACCTCATTTAAGGTGCCACAGCTTGAAAGTGGTGGAGCCAGGGAGTGTGTCTGCAGAGCCCACACTCTTAATTCACAATGTCACATTATGAACTTGTTTTAAATAAGCATTTTCAGTACTATTACTATTGTTGAAATCTATCAGATTATGCATCCAAACTCAAGGCCAAGAAACGTCACTAGTATAGCATAGCCAGCATAGCCAGCATTAAGTGCACTTCAAAAAATTATACCCAAAGAAGCAAGACATTTTTTAAGAAGACTTATTAATTTATGCATACAAGAGCTGGAGTACAGGCCAGAGGCGTTGGGGGTGAGAGGATTCACCAGAGACAGAGCGGGGAATAGAACAGGCAGATGGATCGAACAGGCAGATCGCTGCTGAGGGGAGAAGCCAGTGAGACAGGAGAGGTCTGCTGCGCCATGTGGGTTGCTCCCTGGCAGGCCAGGGATCAAACCCATGCTGCAGAGGCTGTGGACAGCCTCACAGGCTGCATCCCTACCCTTTGCACTACCAGGGAGGCCCTAAAAGAAGCAAGATTTTTAAACTCGATAAGATTGGTGGAACGACTGACTTTCTAATGTACCTACTTGAGATGAAAGCCAAACTCCCTCACTGAGCTCCCTGGTGTACCTGCTGAGGACTGGCACACCTGGCTAGGAGCCTGCCAACAACAAAAGCAAGAAGAGAAGGTTCAGGTCTCATAATATGCAAACCAATTCTACCAGACCCATCGGCCTGCCAGTGCAAACATCAATTCAAATGTGAACTCAAAATCAACTCTATTTTCAGGAATATTTAAAAATCTGATCTACAATATTGTGCACTAAGGAGGACAACTCCAATTCCTCTGCTGAAATTCTTCACCTCCCTAATATGCTTGCAAAGGAAATAGAATTTTCAACAAAAGTGGTTACTGTCATAAAAAATTCTACTCTATAGAAACAATTCCTTCAAGGCAATAAGATGCAGTATCTCCACATTTAAAATTCTTGTCAACTGTTTCTTTAGTGTAAAAGCAAAATGCAGAAATGCATAACTACTGGTGCCTAACACAGCACCTTACACATCATAAATTCTCAACAAATACTTGCAAGCTAGGAAGCTAATTTCCTGCATCTCAACTTTCAAATTAAATAGCAAGTATCAAGAGTCTATCAATATCTATAGAACATTATGGATGGTGTAAAATATGCATATCACTAACACTCAAAAACTAAACTTTGTTATGAGGATAAGATTTTCCCCCATAAAATCAATCAGAGAATAATCAAGAACAAAACTGAACAGCTTTAACTCTAAAAAGGAAAGATTTATAAAAAGAATGAAACCAATAAATTTGATGGGAATAGTCGGGTAAGACATATGTTACAGGAGCCACCTTATCTTTCAGCTATTTTAAAAATCATGGATTATTTATATTACTTGTATTCTCTTGGGGGGAAATGATTATAAGAATCAATGGTGGGGAATTTAATTTCTGAAATTCTCTATAAAACTTTCTAAAACTAAAATTGAGAAGCTCAATCTGGATTGTATTCACTGCTCTTTGTAAAACAATCAAAGGCCTTGCTTTTATCTTAACTCAATACCACCATTTTGACTTTTATGCATGCAATAGCCAAGGCAACTCTCAAATATCAAGTAGATGTTGGATGGCAAGACTGGTTGCAAGTATTTCAATCTCTTCTTTCTCAACTACATGATAAGAACTTGCAATATTTGTAAAGTATGTGTTCATAAGTATACAACATAAAGTATACTCATACCACTTGTCTTTCCATATTTAGTCGATGACTAGCAAGTCAAAGGCTATTATAGGACATAATCAAACCTGACATATGATTTAAAAAGTAAGCAATCTACCTTATATCTGGTAATACAGACAATAATGATATTTAACCTTCCTAGTATCTTCATAAAATTAACCAATCTGTTCCTTTATTGTCATGTAGGAATAGCCAAAATATCCTGAAATGTAGGGACTGCCTGAGACCATAAAGACATAGATAAGAAATAAATTAATCTATAATCTATGCATTCCATGAGAAAGGAACCAGATTGGTTTTATTCACATTTGTTAAATATTTGTTGACTAATAGTCCCTGATCATTTATAGGCTACATACATATGCTCATAGCTGTAGATAAATACAGAATTTTGGAGACTGACACCTTCATTAAAATTGGGAAATGAGTGTCAAACAAGGCTGCCAATCTTGGAGCAGAAATCAGTTGCCCATTCTCGTTCAACACAATCAACCACATGACAGTATAATTCTAAGAACAAGATCTCAAATAGTCTCTTCAGCCAATAATATTCATTCAGAGAACAGGCTGGAACAAGTGAAAGGGAAAAAAAAAGGGAAAAAAAGGTGACCAGAAGATTCTTTCTACTTTAGTGCCCTCAGCATAGTAACTATCTCAAATCATTTTTCTGTTAAACAATCTAGAGCATGACAGTAACTACCCATCAGCTTAACTAAGTCTCTCAAATCCAAAGCAGGAAACAACCATGAACTTGATATCCAATAAAACAGGGCACCAAACTTTGCCACAAAGGTTACCCTAAGACAATTGGTCACCACCAGGGCCCTGGGCTGGCTCCTCTGGAAAAAAAAAGAAATGTCTCTACATGGGATGCCAGAATGATAAACCAAACACCGGGAAAGAATCATGCTCGTGAATCTTGGAGAATATTTATGAAAGTGAATAGGGTGAACAAATAAAGTCAATGTTAGAAAAACAATATGAAACTCACTGCCTTGTTGCCCAAGGCAAATCTGTTGCTTAAACAATAACAACAGAATCTAATCAGTAAACCTCTCAGCTGCCAAAATTATACAAGCAACTTGCCTATTTAAAATGTCACATTTCCCATCTGATATAAATATTTGCCTTCTGCTCGCATTCCTGAAGTGTAATACAAATTAGGCTCAAACTAAAATTCACCTTGGCACAAACTATTTTTTTTTCCTTTCAAATGACCCAGATTGTGCTTTTTGAAAATTGTGAAGCCCTGGTGGTCTTTTCAGTAATTGGAATAGATCACTGAAGCCTAGGTCGCTTTTCAGTCTAGTCTTTTCACATTATTTTACATGTGGGAAAGTCCTGACTACCTTACTCAAGTCCATTGAGACTTGGTTCAGCCTCAGTAACCTTTTAAGACACAAATGCAAGATGGCCTGTTATCGGATTTCTGGAAAAATCATACTAATGAGAACTTTATGCAAATTTTTTAAATAAATAAATGGATACAGTAATAGAAAAATATAACTTGAAAAAAACATCTAAAGCAAACAATGTGAAAATAATGGAAAAGGTAACAAAACTAATTTAAAAGATTGATAGAACCAAAATCAGATTCGTTGGCTATGTCAGTTCATGTCAGTATATAGACCTTCTCATTACAGGCAGGAAGCAAGAAACTTAAATTCTTGCAAAAATGCCCAGTCCACGCACTTTTGTGCCCTCCTGTCAAATGAATTTTGTATTGCACATGTACTACATGCAGGCTAGAAACATTTGTCTACAAGAGTCATCTACAGACAAACTCAGAATCTCCTGGGATAGTGCTTTAAAATGCAGTTCACCGGTTGCCACCAAAGGCCCTCTGTTTTTTTTTTTTTTTTATAGAGGCATGCTTTATTTATTTGTTTGCTGGTTTGTTTGTTTGTTTTGTTTATACATGCACTGGGTACAGTCAGAAGCGCGGGAGGGTGAGAGAATTCACCAGAGCCAGAGCGGGGAGCAGAGCAGGCAGAAGGACCGAAGTACACTGCTGAGGGGAGCAGCGGGCGGCAGGAGAGGTCTGCACGCCATGTGGGACCCTCCTCTGGTGGCCGGGGAGCAGCCGGGGATCGAACCGGCGCCGCAGAGGCCGCGGGCAGCTTCGCAACCCAGCGCTCAACCGCTGCGCCACCGGGGAGGCCCAAGGCCCTCTGTTTTAGACTTTTTCTTGGGAACAGAACCCAGGTTATCTGCATTTTTAACTAGTCTCTCTCCTCCGCCCCAAATCATCCAAAATCCAAAACCGGGTGCTTGCTCTACAAACATGGCTTTCAGATAAACCCTTCCTATCCCTTATAATCCAGTCAGAGCCCCTATGCTGCTCATATAGAAATTCAGAGCTGCCTAGGATATGAAAGTTAAGAGAACTTCTCCCTGGAGCATGTGATTCCCTCAGATCTCTGATCTCACTTGAACCAAGTAAGTAACAGAAAAATCTGCAAAGTCTACTAGTTAGTAGAGTACTCAAAAAACAATCCTTTGAATGCAGTAGGACGCTGTTTGGAATTAGAATAAAATATTAATTGCATCTAATTACTAAAACCTCTCAAAGTCTGGGAGCCAGGGAAGCCAGAGCAGGGGGCTTATAAATCAGATCAGGTTCCAGAGTCACTATCTCTAAACCAACTATACCCACTAGCTTTAAACCCTGTCTGATTATACATAAGCCACCCTCCCCCAACAATAATGGTCCTCATCATTTTTGTGACACTGAAAGACTGTAAACAACACTTAAAGGCCAGCGATCAAACACCCATAGAAACTGCCCCTTCCTTAACATTCAACGTTGACTTTGAGATTTTCTTACATATTAAGTCAGGAATGAGTTTTTGAAAACAAATAGCTCTAATGTTGAGCATATTTCAGAAGGCCTTCAAGCAACAAAGACTGCCTATGCTTACACAGAAGTGTTTACCAAAAAATAAAAAAGCCCTCATCTATACTCACCTCAGTGGAGTAGCATAAAGTCTCTCCTGGCCCAAATCCATATGGAAAAAAAGACGCAGTAGAAACATTTACAATGTCTTCAGTAGTAAATAGTTGGTTTACATGTTTGAAAAATTTTATAAAACCAAACATTTGGAATTTATTCTTTTTTGCTTATTTTATTATCAATCCAGATATTTTACGCTCAATTCATATTTTCGCATCATTCAAAAATAATCTCAGGCCTCCCCAGTGGTGCAGTGGGAGGCATGGCGCTGTGAGGCTGTCTGCAGGCTCTGCAGCACAGGTTCAATTCCCCACCAGCCAGAGAGATACCCACATGGCACGGTAGACCTCTCCTGTCTCACCCACTGCTCCACTCAGCAGTGATTTTGGTCGTCTGCCTGTTCTGCTCCCGCTCTGTCTCTGGTGAATTCTCTCACCCTCCTGTGCCTCTGGCCTGTACCACAGTTCTTGTATAAATAAAAATAAATCTTAAAAAAATGTCAATTTAGATTATGATGTTTCAAAGAATTGAAGTCTTAAATGGCTCTGCTTACGACAATTATTCAAAGTTCAATCATCTGGTAAATTGTGAGGAGGAGGAGCATCTTTATTTCAGTTAAGACTACTTTATAATTGTCAATAGATTTTTACCTTTCAGCTGAAATCTTTGTTATTGAAAAAGAAAATGCATGACTCCAGATTTCCCAGTCTCAGGGAAGTAGAAGTAAGGATTTCCAAAAAGTAAAAAATGAAAAGAAAAAAAAAAAGGAAAAAGAAAGGCTGTCTAAAGTCTTATTTGTAGTTTTTAGAAAGAGGTCAAATCACATAGAAAGGAAGCAGAAAGCATACCGTTGCTCATTTGGGGCTTAATCTCTTCATCCATGTCCAAATCTTCTAAATCTAGGAAATTGTCTACCTAGAAAAGGATTAACATCATTTTTATGCATATTAGGTCTAAAGAAAAAAAAGGCAATTAAGAATCAGTGAATCTATTTCCACAACACTCAACGGAGCAACAGAATCCCCTTTTCTCATTAACTGTTGAGTCCCAGCTAAAGGTCTTTGTGTTCACTGTGCTTTCCCAGAGATGTGTGAAAGAAGCAGTAAATTTGGAAGTTGGCCTGGATTTTGTAGGCACCATAGTAAGATCTCTATACTGAAAGGGAAAAAACAGTCTGGGGAGTTTTTGAAGAGAGACTTTGTTCCAGATTTCATCCCAACATATATACCACCACCAAGACAGTCCAAAAACAGTGTCTCTGTTTTTTGGTTGGTTTTATTGCTTTTGCTTCTCAAGCAAATGGTTTTGGTGAGTCTGGCTATTATCATAATAGTGTGTTTTTCACTCAGAAGAGCCAAAAAGAAGAAACTAAAGGAAGCGGGAAAGAAAAGTTCATTCAAAATAAAATCATCCTGCCCCAGGTAAATCACGAGAGGTGAATAGGGCAAAAAATCAAGTGTTCTCTCTTTCAAGCAAATAAAACTGAAAATTACTTCAAAGGTAAAACGCAGAGCAAGTGACCTTTACAGACACAATAGCAGCATTTCAATGAAAAACTATTCCACGTGGAATATGGCTTTCCACTGCAAGCTGACAATGAGACATTTTAGATGAATAGAATGGTAACATTTCAGACATGAACTAATTAATCTCAGGTGAATATCAAAGAGTGTAAATAAGAAAATTATTTCACTGCTGGCACAAAGGAGATCTAGTAAAGGTGTAATGTCGAAGGCCTTTTACGTCCATGATCTGAAACATGTGCATAACAAAATACCTTAAAATCACAAAGTTAGATCTCATAATTGGAATTTGAAAAGACAGCCTGTGTCTATCTTCTTTCAGATCGACTTGCCAGACCATGCCTATTACATAGGAATTAAAATGGTTGTTTCCATTGCTAGTAAGTACACAACAGCAGTAATTTCCTGACAACCAAGTGACAGCAAAAAAAATCATCTTCCATCGAATGGTTTTAATACTAAAACTTGAGAATCTGTTATAATGTCTTTTTTCTGAATGATATTTGTTAAGAGGAACCAGATGCATGTTGATCAAAGCACCCTTTCCATTTGTTAAACTTTGAGGAAAAAAGACCCAGAACCCAGACAACCAAACAGAGTTTACATATTCAAATACCAATTAACAAAAAAGTCTAAGAATAAAAATATACTAAATTCTCCAACATTGTATGAGAGACAGCAAATGAGTTCTGTTTCTATGTTTTTCTCATATCTTATCATGGAAGAACACTGAACCATGCCTTACCTTCACCTTTCCTGCCCTATTCAGATCACCTTGCAGGAAAGTACCAACTTTTTGGCCTTCATCCAACACTATCTGGAAAACAAAACAAAACAAAAAATAGTAAAGACATATTGATGTGGAAATTAAACAACCAAAAATAAAAGAACTGATCTTACAGCCCTTCATACGATATAATGCCCCTTCTGGTTTCTGTTAATGAACTACACATGATGAAACAGATTCACTAAGATATAGCAGTGGGCAGGGAAAAGGTCTCAGGAAGTCTGACTTCTACGTCTGTTCTCCAGACTTACCCATGGTGTAACCTAAAATAGATTACTTAACTTCAGTTTTCTCATACTTAAAATAGAAACACTTCCCAACTCATTACCCCACTTTACATCCCATCCCAATGATAAATGAGAGCATGCAAATATAACACTTTTAGGTTATTAGAAAACAATGCCATTGAACAATTTTTTGCCTCTCACATGCTGGTAAATGATCAAATAAATAATTCTTTTGTCAAAGATTGCCAGTAGAAAGTGAATCCTGGGAGGTGGTGGGGGTGGATTTAGGGTGGGGAGAGTGAGTTTTCGTCCCACAATCATCCCACTGGAAGCAAGTTCTAGAATTAGAAAATTGTAGGTATCCAGGTTAGAAATGTGTAAACCTCCATATCCCTAACACATAGATTTTCAGTTTCTTTATTAAAAAACTCAATCTCATATACATTCTACCCATAATATATAAAGGAAAACATGATAAGGTAGAAAATTAAAAGCTCAAATAGTTTAAAGGGTATAACTTTTTTCACTAGGCTTATTTGATAATTAAAAACCACAGCTCAGGAGAACATGAAGAGTGTCTGTAAGTCTTAGAGATTAGGAAGAGAGTAACCAGCAAATCCAACTTGGAAAACCAAGTTAACAGATTCAACTTTAAGTTTGAAAGAGATGAATCCATGACACTTATAAGAAAGTCCCATTTTACATAGAGAATTATGGAAGGGAACTCTTTCTGTCCCTAAAAGAAGATACACTAAAAAATACAAGTAAATACAAGAAGAATAAGAGGGTGGAAGATCCTTAAGAGGTTTCTAATAAATTGAGGCTAACCAAGTTACCATTATAAATGCTGACTGTTGAAATGATGAGCTGTAATAATGATTTCAATGGTGTCCCCTGCTGCACTCCTTTCAGAGTTAGGCATCAGAGTTACTTATCCAATAGTCATCTGATCTTTTCTTATGATCTTAGGGTCTTTTTTTAAAAAATGTATGCTTTTTAATTGAAGTTTTTAGACCATTTCTATAACTGTGCTATTGTTTTACCTGTTCCTCTTCCAATGTATTATGAAGAAAAATAGTTTTATTTCTAAGATGGTCATTTGGTTCTTCTTCATGAGTAAATTTTCTTGACATAAATATGTGTCCTGCAGAATCAGCTCCAGATGCTCCTCTTTTGGGCACATTATCTTCTGGAATGATGTTACATAATATTAGAAAATTTGTAAGAGAAAAAATTAAATTTGAAAATTATTCACAATACAATATGACAGAAAAGCTGCAACAAAATTTTTCCAGTGGTCATCTTTCCAATCTCTTATATAGGCATCCATTCATTTCTAAAAATCAAATGGAATTTTTCTGTATATATTGTGTTATAACTCAACCTGACAACAGCATTTCCTTCTGTATTACTGAATACAGAATTACTGTATTACTGAATACAAATTATATATCCTACATAAGTTTAATGGCTAGAAAAGTCCATTGTACAAAAGTAACATAGATGACTTAACCATTCCTTTATTTTCAACTATTTAAAGCCATAAACAAGGAATACCTTCATACTACTAAATCTGTGCCCATTGTGATTTTCTTTTTAGGATACAAAAAAAGAATCTAAGATTAATCCAAATTAAAAAGCTGAGGAAATTATGGTATCATGATGCCATTAACACAAATGGAAGTGGGTGGGGGGGGGTAAATTCTGATGAGAGAGCGTCAATTAAGCTTCAGACAGGTCATATTTGAAGACTGAGGGAAATGTTAAAATCAGAGGCAGGTATCAAACTATAAAACAGCCTAATCCGACAAAGTGACCATTGTTTATTGCTCAAGAACTACTAATTCTCCATTGGCATAGCCATTGGTGAGATCCTTATTGTTCTAAGGATCACAACTTGGTTCAAGTGAAGAGAGATCCTTTGTTTACTTCTGAATACCCCATTATTAGTACAACTAAGATTTGCAGGGATGTCAATAGGGCATTAGCACAGAAATAACCACTGGGAAGCAGAGGTAAAGTAACCTAGACAAGAATACATTACAAACTCAGTAAGCCAGGAAGGGAAAACGCAAACATCTGCATGCATCACTTTCTCTTTAACAGGATAATATTATGAATAACACAAGCTCACACCAACTCTCCCTACTGCTTCCTACACCAGCACCTATGACTCCTAACAAGCTGCTAGCCACTACTAATCTCTAGAAATTAATGTGAAGCACCAGCTTTAGGTGCTGGAGATAAAGGGACTGAGGATCTGAGGAAGGTAAGGGGAGGGGTTTTGATAATAATCCTGGAGTAACTAGCACTATAAAAGATAAATGAGGAAAGCATCGATTGAGGACTTCTCCTGACTTCTTCTTTTATAGCAAACAGTCCTAAGGCAAAGATAAACAATGGTAGCAGAGTGGGAAAAGGCAGGCATGAAGCTGCTTGGAAACCAGAGGAGTTATCTGGAGAATGCAGGGCTCCTAAAACGGCATCTAAGTTACAAGCAAGAAGCCTTCCTGGGGCTACCTGTCATTCCTCAGTGCATGTTCTAATAGAGATGGAAGAGTTTCGGTGCTTCCTGCTTAGCCTTTAAGGCTCACACAACCTAAATCTAGCATTTACTAAGAAAATACTATGTACCCAGCATAACACCAAGGCCATAGCCTATTGACGTAAATACTTGAAAAGCACAGTGATATTTGGGAAGAACAGAGTCTTCGAAAGGACAAGTTTGATTTATTCTCATAATAATTCAATGTACTCCTCTACCATTCCAGTGAATACCAGACACTTGAAGATAACCAGATGAAACTCCTCTGAAATAAAGAGCAAAGAGCAAAATAAAATGAATCCCCAGTTTCTGATGCTGATGTTGAACTACTATGGGGGTCTCAGAGTAACAAAGTTTCTTGTTCCCTCTTTAAAAACTTTTCCTTCTATAAACATAAAACTTTCACTTTTAAAATATGAGAAGATTCAGAAAAGAACTTGTTGTATCTCTGGTTGAACCTACAGTTTACAGCTCCTTCCTCAACCTTAAAAGTAGTTTCATAAGAACATATAAAATATCTCACGGCAAAGACCCAGAAGAGCTTCTTACAATGGCTTTTATCATTTTTCATAAACAGCAAATAATAAATCGCTTGGCAGAATGAGGTAGGGAAAAAGTTCTTTTTCAACATGATAATGTCAAAATGGCAGATGCTGGCACAGCCCAGGATCCAAAGTGGCCTCCAGCCTGATTAGGGAACCAGCTGCCTCTTCCCAGAGCTACCAGGGTGGCAATCCAAACGTGCCGCCCAAGTGCTCGTCTCATCTTCTTCTGCTTCTGTTTTTCATCAGAGTCCTTTTCTACCCTTTCATCTTATCCCTAATGTTTCCTGCTTTGAAATAAGTGTCAGACATAATACACTTTAGAAATCCGACAGCAATATTTCAGAGAACAAGTAGGTTATTGAGACCTGAAAGAGATTTTCTTTGGCTATTTCTGAGTCAAAACTTCAATACAGATGAAACAAAGGTTTTTTTTTTTTTTTTTTTCCTAAAGGTTTTTAAGGGTTTCATTATTCTGAAGCAATGGAAATTCAATTTTCTTTTGATACCAAACAGACCAGCTTCCAACAGATCTCTCTTGCAAGGCCACCAACTATACCCACAGTGTCCAATTTCAGGCCAAAGAAAGGTTAAACTCCTTTTGAAAGGTTGAAAGTGGTGATACCTTGATAAATCAGGACACTAATCACATACTAATTAGGTATTTTCCAGATGAAAATGATCACTTTCAGCGAACTCAATTTGAGATGAAACTTTTTCAAAATCCATTCATTCACACAACAGCCAGACTAGTGTCCATGTGCTGAAAAGCATCAACACTCCGCAAGACAGTTTTGACAACCAACATCAGAATTCACAACCAAATCCTGCCAGCAACCCCTGTGTGTCTGTCCTTCTACGCCACGGTAAATAGCAATATAAAGCAGGAGCAGGTTCTCAGTTGCAAAAAAATATTGACTGTGTTGCCAAAAGGAAAAGAAAAATTCTTGGAGGGGAGGGAGAAAGGAGTTCTGTGAAACACTGGGCAGTTGCAAAAAGCCTTCTGCAAAGAGAACAGGGGATAAGCAATCATGCTTATAACAAGGCTGGGTACTTTGAAAGTCGGGGGTGATTTTCGCATTATACTCCTAGCCTAGAGCAATGTTTCTCTGGACAATAATATTTGCTCTTGATTTGTCCAGCCAAACTACTTCACTCCACTGCTTCTTGATCACATGCTCCTTGGTATCTGGCCTCCCCTGGAGCGATAGTCGTTAGGATTAAATAAGCAATTTAAAAACCAATCAATCATAAATCAGAATAAATCCAAAGAGGCTAAATTCAGCAGGCAAATGTTTTGTCTACATTCCCTTTGCAGTGCTCTGAATTCCAACTGTTTTATGTTCTTCCTTTGAAAGGGCACAGGGAGGCGAGGATTACCTCAGCCTGGCCGGTAGGGAATAATTGTGCCTTCCCCGAGGCTGGATGATAATTGACTCATTATTCACAGTCATAGCTCTCAAGCTGCCAAGCCACAAATGCACACCCCTAGCCCCTGAAAACGTGTGTCAAAAGCCAAGATGAGGGGCACAATAGCAGGAAGTTGAGATTGCTGAAATGTAAGTTAAGCATTTCCAGAGAGGAAAATGTGAAGAAAGTATAAAGATGCCGAAAGTTTATTTGTAGAGGGAAAATCTGAGTGGTAGTGGAGTTACACAACTCATCCAATCCAAAAGTTATATTCTGGGCATCAATATGTGCAAGGTGCCAAAGATGGGTAAGACCAAGTCCCTGCTTTTACCGTTTACAACTAGGAAATCAAGCCAGGAATTCAAACTGCCAAAACAGAAGATAAAATGACAGCAGATAGAGGGAGGTACAGAGTCAGAGAGTGACAAAATCACAAATGGTTGGTAAGAATTACAAGATTCCACTAGGAATGGGGTTTAGAAAGACAGCGCCGATTCCAACAAGGGACCATGGATGGAATGACTCCACAATGGGAAAAATGCATGAAAGCAAAGCCCCCCATGAAGGGAAAGCCCTGTTTTCCTGCCCACAATCTTCATGATGGCAGAAGTAGATAATACAACATGTCTGCAAATGAATTACAGTTTGGTGCTAAGAGGTCACACCTATCACCCCATGACATATGCTCACCTTCCCAACTGATTCCGTCAAAGCCACAGAAGGGAGCTGCCCAGAGAGGGAGCAGAGACAGTGTATTTGGGCACAGCTTCCCTTAGCTCCCAGAATCGCCAACAGGGTGACAGCTGCTGGTGACAATGTCTACACAGGTAGAAGCCCATTGCAACTAAGAAGCTCCTTTCTTTCATTATCACAGCCTTATCTACTTAACCCTTTCAAATCTGTGTACAAATAACTTGTTTTTTTCATAGAAAATATTTATAGACCAACAGGCCTCTCCTGGTTCTTGAGCCAAATCCATGTCATGGCCATATGCTCATCAAGTGAAGGATTCAGTGTAAGGGTCTAAGTGTCCGTGAATAATAGTATCTCAGCCTTGCCACCCTGAAATTCTATAAGCAATTATAGCCTAGTATGCAGTAGAGATCAGCTAGGTCACAGTAAAATTTTTCCTGTAGCCCATCCTACTTTTTCACTGACAAAATATCCTTGAAATAATATAAAATGGTGATATTAAACAGAAAGTTACATTTAAATTAAATATTCTTACCTTTTGGGTGGGGATGTGGACAATTTCATGAAAGCTATGACCTTATTTCTAGAAGAACGTAATGTATACAAAAGCACAGAATTTGGGGGGAATTCATGTATATCCCTATATCCCTTTTTGACCTCAATTAGGCTGTATTTAAAACTCATCTGAAGAGCAGGGTTTTTGGGTTGCATACTAGAACTACTCAATCAGCTTTGAGGGTTGATACCTAAGAACTTGTATTTTAGTAAGCATCTCCCAGGTGAACTTCATATATGCATAAGGCAAGAGTCTCAAGTAATGATTCCTTGGAGTAGAATCTAAAAATTGGGAATTAAGAAGCAGCTGATACCTTACCTTTGTCAGAGCATGTAAATACTATTGCCTGAAGGTTATGGGGAGACCTGTTATCTAATCCATCCACCAGAGGCCAGTGTTAGATTATTCCCTGAATTGCACAGTCTGATACTATGCAATAGACA